TTACTAGCTAGAAATGGCCAGTAACAACCATGATAGTTTCAGAGAACTTAAGGAAGGAACCAATTTGGTCACTCGGTGTTGTTCGGTGAGTTTGTTGTTTTTGCTTTTGTCGTTGTTCTTGTTCAAGTCGTTATTCCTTCACTCTTACGTCTAACGCCTGCTCTTACGTCTAACTTGGAAATTTTAGTGGGCTCGAATGTGCGATGACATGCCTCGGAGCCAATTAAGTCAGCGCTAACATTATAAAAGACTAATCCTTCTGTCTAACCAAAGCGCCTTTTCTATGCGCAACCTTAGTGCGGTTCTCTCTGCGCTGTGCTTTGTTAACTCTATGTTACACGTCAGTGCCCACGTGGGCTGCATTCAGCGATGATTGAGGTATCAGTATAACCCATTTGACCATCCGCGCGCGGTCCGCTCTAGCGTTCGTGGTTTCAGCAAAAACCCATATAACCCGTATATTTATTGGAAGCTTAATAACTACAGGTTATGACCCGATCTGTTTAAAACGGTAAAAATTTACCGTGTTTCGAAAATGTGAATATGTTTACAAAGCTTCACGAACCCATAAATCAAGGTATAAGCCCGCTAAATTTAGGTCGGAGAAAACGATTAACATGGCATTCGTTTCTTCAAACACTGACCTCAAAAACCGTGTCTCAAATTTTTGGCACATGCGTTTGTTATTATTTTACAAGACGATAAAGTTAGAAAAGGGAAAAAAGAGGACTTCCCGCGAAAAAAAGGCATAACTTCTTAATGAAAAGAATAATCAGAATTCGCAGACACGCTTTTGTCGGCCAACGTTCCCGACAACATTCTCTCCGAATTTCAGCCAATTTGGTCTTGGGGCTACCGACCTGGAACTCGAAATACACGTACAACTCACCTATTTTTTACTTTTCGATTATCACACCAAGGGAGACACCGAAGAGGAATCAACTTTCTGTATAACAATAGGACTATGACAGTTAACATGGAACAGGTACAAATTTCCCGCGACGGCGCGCGGTAAATTATTCACCACTGAATAAAAGCTAATAAACCGCTTTTTCATGTGTGAAGTCAGAATTCCAAGGTTAGTAAACGTGAAATCATCTTTTGATTTACTATATTAACTAAATTTTTAACAGTATTTCAGCGCGGCTTGCGCTCATTTCGGCTTGCTCGCTGGCTTCGTGATCGCGATCGTTGTCGAGTTCATCCAGCAAGTTTTCTTAGTTGTAAAACGACCCTTTGACGCTTTCCGCTAATTTAGCGGCTCACTCTTTGTCGAAAGTGTTTTTCGCCCTCTTTGGCCTTCCTTTAGCCGATGAAAACGGGCAAGATCGCTTTTTCTTCTTCGAAGACATCCGGCACTGATTATGGCGCGCGAATCGTGTGTCAACTCAGCATGATCTACATGTATGTGACTTCTTGCCTCGATAATTAATTCATTTGACAGAACTTGGTAACTCTCAATTAAGTAATTAATATGAAAAAAATCTTTCTCGCGCAATAACTAGCGGCAGATATAATATTTTTCGTACAGTGTTTTTTTATCTTAAAGATTACCTTAAGATTTATCCAACCGCTTAAAAAAGTAAAAGTAGGCAAAATGGTAAATTTTCCCTTTAGTGATACCTTAAAGTCCTCCTCCAGAAAAAAAGAATAAGAAAACGCACACACACACAGGAAAGACCTCAGAAGCTGGAGCCATTCTCAGTAACTACACAAGATAAACCATGGCGCAAGGCCTGAGACCAACAAAATGAAAGGACTGAACAGCTCCGTTCAGATGCAATTGGAACAAGAAACACAGTTTGGTTCTAAATTTTGGGAGAAAAGGTAAACAATCTGTTAAGAAGTTTTCTTACAAAGCAAAACATCATACTCAAAACAAATGCAAAAACTGATGACACCGGCACAAATCACGGATAGTTATCAATGGGGATGGCTAATAAAAATGCATATCTTCTCTGACTTTTATTGTTTTCTGCACTATAAAGAAAGTAAAACTGAGTGTCTTATTCTCTAAATTTTTCTTTCTCATTACAAAGCCGATATAAAATTATTTGATCATAAAGACCTGAAGAGATAACCGCTCAGTAAGTCCCCAAGAGAGTGAGCACATTTCTTCATGTACGACGTGTTCATTCAGAGCACTATTAGCGACACAGTTTGTTATAGTCTGTATGTTCTATTTATCATATCTATTCATTGAATAGCGCCTTTTTATTCCTCGGGTTCTTCAGGCTTGCTCTCTTCTCTTGAGTGTTTTAGTTTCTCTGTTAGAATGCCCGGCTTCTTCTTCAAGTCTCCTTTTCTCCACAAGACTATTTCCTATAAGACACACAATCCTGCATAAGAGAAGCCTCATGCACAACAAACTTTTCTCGACATGTCCATTTTCAAA